TGGAGAATGAGAGGGAAGAAGGAAGAGAAAGAGGAAGATAAATGGCATGAATTTAACCAAATCATGTCATATTCATATATAAACATCCCAAAGGAAATTTCCCTTTTGCATGTGTAATAGAATAAAATTTTAGTAGAGAAGAGGAGGGAACATGAGGGAGAAGAAGAGAGGAAAAGGTTGGGTGGGGCTTGAAATAAAATTTCTTGCATATTTGATTGTGTCAAAATGAACCCAATATTTATGATGTTCTAATACAAAAGATGAGCAAAAATTCAAAGTGCATAATGCAAGTTACCATTTTGAAGAGTAGAAACTTCTTGAAAATGGTATGCAATCAAACATAAAGTGGAAAAATTAATTGAAGTTGTAGTATATTTATTGTATGTGTGTATACATGAAGGTGATGAGGGGATTCTTTATAACATATCATGCAAGATTTCTTGAAACAGAATCATATTGCCTGGAAAAAATTAGTACTATTTAGATATTCAAAGGACTAGGTTTTCTCTAAATAATCTCTTGAAAATGAGTAAATTTCAAGAAAATAAAAATAAAGCTGACAATAAAATAAATAACAGCATTTAAATTTGTGTTAAATTATTTAATACATAAGAGTAAGTCAATAAGATATAATCCTATTATACCTCATTGAAAAAGATCTTAGCACATTAAAACATCTCATTTCCCAACTGAAACTAGAATAAAACTATTGTTTATTATAACCTTATCTATTTTGATACTAACAAATTTTTCTATTTGATTTCTCTGGTGACTGAAAAGATATCATTTGACTTCCCTAACAAAGACCTCACAGAGCATAATCATCTGATTTCTGTGACTTATCTTTTCTTGAAAACCTTGTAATTATGTTAATAATAAGACAAAATTCATTACTTAAATGGTTTATCTCTGATATGTTGCTCAATAAAATAAAATATTATTTTATCTTATTTTTTTATCACATGGACATCTATACCACGAAGAAAGGCTTAAATAGTATTTGATTTTAGTTTTAATTTAAACGTTTTATTTATGTCTGACCCTTTAATTTCTGTTTTTCATACAGAAAATCTTTCATGTTCTCAACCACCTGACATAGACCATGGAAGAATTAGTCCATCTAGATCTTCAGAAGAAAGGAAAGAAGCAATTGAATCCAGACAGTATGCACATGGCACTAAACTGAATTATATTTGTGAAGATGGTTTCACAGCCTCTGAGGAGGATGAGATAACATGCTACATGGGCAAATGGAGTCCTCCACCTCGGTGTGTAGGTGAGGACTGCATGAAAACTCAAATTCTGATTTGAGAATACAAATACTTAAATAATTGAGAGTACAAATAATTGAATATAATATGCTTTTGTCAAAGTCAGAGTATAGAATAATATAGATTATCATATGTATTTAATCATTTAAATACTTTATGATTAAAATACTATTGCATTATTGAATCAATCCTATTTTATTAATTTTATTGGTTCTTTATAGAGTTACTTTTTAATTTGGCATTTCTTTTTAAAAGAATATAACATGTAGTGAATTTAAATTTATGTAACTTGTAGTGTTTGCTTTGCAAACAAAGATTTTAAATATTTTAAAATTGTTTTTCTTAAAGTGTTCCTTCTGATGTCTTACAATACTTGGTAAATTCATCTCATCAATTTATTCAATGTTATTAATTCTGAGTATGTTTCTGTTTTTCACTCATGGTTGATTAGAGAAGCTCTGGTGATCTCTTAAAAGCATCAACATTTTTATTTCAATTTCTTGCTCATGTTTTTACAGTTTGAGTTTTACATGAGAAAGGTGGACTTAAGAAGCCTTTATGCACATTCTCTGTGACTTTATAATAGCTTATTTATTATTATTTATTTTCAAAAACTGTGAAATATCTAAATTGGCCTATAAAATTGAATTTCTGAGTTGTAAAATATGGATTCATCCTTTCATTATTTTATTTTTTAGGACTTCCTTGTGAACCTCCACCTTCCATTCCTAATGGTGTTGTGTCTCATGAGTTAGACAGTTACCCATATGGACAAGAAATTATTTACAATTGTTCTGAAGGTTTTGGGATTGATGGACCTGCATTTATAAAATGTTTAGGAGGAAAATGGTCTTCCCCACCAGAATGCATAAGTACAGTGTATTTAATTTTATAATATGTGTGATAGATTCCCTCATTCAAAGTATAAGTAATACAAATAAGAAAGTAAGCTGTAATTCTAGAATTTTACAAGGTACCTGATTTCACTTTCACATCATTTTGTGTGAACATTTAGCGTCCTCTAATGTCCATTCTCAGAATTCTTATCTCTCTCTGTTCCTAGAGAAACTGGCCCCTACTCATCCATCTCATGCTCCAGTTCATCACCAATCTCACTACAAAATACATATTTCATAAAACTTTGAAATAATTATTGTAAGTAATTCACATTTTCAGAAGCCAAAAGTAGAAATACGTAATACATGTGGCAAGTGTGGAAAAAATAATTTGAATATAAAAATCTGATCTAATGCATTAGAACTACTAATATCTTCAAGCATTATTCCTATTTATATGTTTGATAAATTTAGAACAGTTCAATTGAAGTCAAAACATCATATTTTGCCAAGGTGTCAGAAGTATATTATGCATTATTCATTGGTTCTATAGGTAGCTAAGTATTATTTTAGAATATTACTATTAAATATTACATATTTTATAATTTAGTGAACAAATACATATTTTTTTCTTTCAGGAACAGATTGTTTTAATTTACCCAACTTTGATGATGCCATGCTTTTAGGAGAAAGGAAAGAATCATATAAGTCAGGAGATCAAGTGACTTACAGATGCCCAAAATTTTACCAAGTGGATAGGTCCAATACTATAACATGTATCAATGGCAAATGGATAGGAAAGCCAATGTGCAAAGGTACGTTGATGGCATTATAAATTTATGTATAGTGTCTTATGAAATATTAAATTTTCTATACCATTCTTAAAAATGAGTATAGATTAATTTTCAGGCCAAGACAAAGTAAGTTTAAGATTAGAAATAAAAGGTTGGAATTAAATATATAGTGGTTAATCTCACAGTTCAATGGTTCTCAGAGTGTGGTCCCTAGACCAGCAGCATCAAATTTTTGAACAGATTTTTATGAATTCAAATGAAAATTCCTGAGCTCATCTTAGGCCTATTGGAAAAAATAATCTTGAGATATGACTTGAAATTATTCATCAAGTTCCCCAAAGGATTTTACATACTCCTCAATTTGGGAGCTATTGCTATAGTCTGTTATTACTAACCATGCACCTAAAACTCTCTGAGGAATTACACATAGTTTATCATAGTATCCAAAAGCACTTATAAATAAATTTAGAAAGCTATGTTTCTATAAATATAGGTGTACTTTTCTGTTACTTTCTCACATCTTTAGGTTTTTAATTGATGATCTTCCTCTTTTAAAATATTTACTTAACTATTTTTTGTTTTTATTGGTGCATTATAGTTGTACATAACATCTTTAAACTGTGTTTTAAGAATAACAAATTATTCTTCAAACTATGTTCTTAATTCTTGACTTATTCTCTAAAGAGATGCATCTTTCAGTTTTTATTTTAAGAGGCTAAAATGTTAATTAAAGAGCAAGATAATTGTATACCAAAGAGTATACATCTTGTTACTCTTATTTTTTGTTGAATTTTAAAGTTCATGTTGCACTTATGGACTTTGTAATATTTGTTGTGCTCAACCCAAGGGGAAATATTTCATTCTCAGTGGCTTTTAAGGGGACAAAATATCTATCAGTGTTCTAGTGAAGGATACGAAGAGATTTAAAGGCATGAAAGTTTAGCTCTGACAAAAAAATATTGCTGTATCTTCTTTTCCTTGTATTACATGTGAATTTATTAAAATCAGAAAAGTTTTTCATGACAAAGTATCTATTAATCTTCAATCCTACTTAAAATGTATTCAGAATCTTATTCATTGTTTTGCTACTCAAAATGAACACTAGGTGGAGATACTTTCTTTTCTTTCTATTCAGATATTTCCTGTGTGAATCCACCCAAAGTGGAAAATGCTAATATAATATCAAACCAGATGCTTAAGTATCCATCTGGTGAGAGAGTACGTTATGAATGTATCAAACCTTTTGAAATATTTGGGGAAGTAGAAGTGATGTGTCTAAATGGAACTTGGACAGAGCCACCTCAGTGCAAAGGTAGAAGATCATATTTCCTAACTTTTCTTTGCTTGAGGACATAATGTGAGTAAAATATGTTGATAAAAATAAAGTCAAGTCATTCTTAAGGATTATATTTTTCAAATGCAAATAATATGATATTGCTAAAGATTTATTTTCTGGCAAAATGAACTAAGAAATATGGTGTATTTTTTTCAAGACACATTTAACCAGATTAATAGAACAGTTACAATCTGAGAAAATTCCTCATCTTAAAAGTTAAGACACTCAGTACATTTTGACAACTCCAAGAGATATCTACTTTGAGAAACAGAAAATAGGTCATTGAAGACTGATCATAGAATATAAATATGCATTTGGGTATCTTCTGTATATAGAGTATATTTGAAAATATGTGACTGAGGCCAGCCAGGGAACACTATATTTATAAAAATAAGTTTGGATATTAGGTCATCAGCATTCTAATATTTAGAATTCAGGAAATGAATAATGGAAATATTATATCATCCATTTCTATTTTTAAAAATTAATTTTTCCTAATTGATTTTCTCTTACTTTACTTTGATTCTACCTTTTGCTAATGATGAAGTCAGTTTTATGTAAACCACAGAATTAGGTCTCCTTTACGTATCTATCTTGCCCTACTTGCTCTTTCCTCTAGTATATTTAGATCATTTACATTTAAAATAAATATCGGTCTTTTTGTTTCTTGTTTTATCTGTTTATTTTCTCTATTTCTCATTCTTGTTTCTGATCTCTTCCATTATTTTCAGGGAACAGTTTAAAAGAATTTCATTTTGATTTATCTTCCTGGTTTTGAGTGTATCTCTATGATGGCTTCCCCCACTACCTTTCTTTTTAAAATTGTTGCTTTAGGAATTACAATATATACATAGTATATTTGCAACTTACCACTCTACTAGTAATGGCATTTTATTTTCGATCAAAACATGAGAACCTTGCTTCCATTTAAATCCACTTACCCTTTAGTGTTTCCTGTTCATACAGTGAACATTGTTACCAAATGATATAATTTTCTTTCAAACATCAAACATAAATAAACATAAATGAACAAACTGAGGAGGAAAAAGCCTATTATATTATATATTCTTCCTTTTAGCAATTACAGGAATGAGAAAATGACACTGTAATTGATAAAAGGAAGAATATATAATATAATAGACTTTTTCCTACTTGGTTTGTTCATTTGTTTGATAACTCAATTATTCTTTCTTCCTTCTTTCTCCAACATTTTCTTTTCCTCTAAAGGTCTCTGAAGTTTGATTGATTCATTGATTGATTTTTTCAGTCTATTTTCACACTGTGTAATTTATGTTGTTATATCTTGAAGTGCATGGATTCATCCTTCTGTCATCCTCAAACTGTTCAGTCTGTACAGTGAGACATTTTGTTTTGTTTTTTATTTGTTATATTATCTGTTCTAAACCCTACTGAGCTTTTAAGAAACATTGACTATCAATATCTTTATCACATCAGTATTCTCTTTTATTATCTTTTTTGTTTTTAAATGTTTCTGATCCTTAATATGATGAGTAATTTTTAATTTTACACTTGATATTTTAGGTATTACATTTGAGACTCCCCCATTTTATTTAAATTTCCTGTTCAGTGGTTCTCCATTACAGCCATGCTGGATTTAAGTCCAGGTTTCTCATTCAGCCTCTACAGATATACAGGATTCTGTTCTGCCACCCCTATATGTGGGTGGTCTCTGGTCATCAGTGCCTTATGATGTTTTTATTATTTTCTCTAGATTAGGTCATGTATTGTTTTAAAGATCTCTTAGACTAGCAAGGCCACTCCCTTCCTTGTCCTTAGGTTAAAGGGATGAGACTCTGCATGAGCTTTTCCTTATTTATCTCTACCTGATATCATTTCTGAGATTACCAACCTTCTCCAGTGCTCCATCTAGAACACACAGGAGCCCCAAAGTGAACTCATATAGCATCCTGTTTGCCATTCCTTGAGTCCTGAAGTTCCTAGCCAGAGTGAATTCTCTGCACCTTCTAGAGTCTTCTTATATTGGCATTTAAAAATTATTGTGTCCAAGATTATAAATTATGCTTAGCAAAAGGGGATAAAAAAGACAGTGGAATGAGATGGACATTATTACCCTAAGTACATGTATGAGGACAAGTGTGGTATGACAATACTTTGTATATAGAGATATGAAAAATTATTCTCTGTATGTGTCATATGAATTGTAATACACTCTGTGTCATATATAACAAATTACAATTTTAAAAAACTCAACATACAAAGCCTGAAAAAAAAGGAATAGGTAAGAATGATTTTTACTCATCTTGTCCAAATTAGGATGACAATATTTCCCTATTATTTTCTACAAATTTACTTCCTTTGAACTTTTTTCAAGGAGTTTTTGTTTCTTTTGTAATAAAAAGGAAAATTAAAAAGAAGTCAGAAGGGACACAATAAACACTGTGTAGTGTCATATATAATAACAGGAAACTTTCTTAGTTTGTCCTCGCTATCTACCTCTTCAGCATTTATATATTAAGACATATTTTTTAGTATTGAAATGTTTGTGCTGGCTTTAATTTTATCCTGTATTTTGATTTGTTCTCTCATAAATGAAATTATATTTTTCCAGATTCCTCAGGAAAATGTGGGCCTCCTCCAGCTATTGACAATGGAGACCTCACTTCATTCCCATTACCAGTATATCCTATGGGTTCATCAGTTGAATATCAGTGCCAATCCTTATATCAACTTGAGGGTAGCAAGACAGTAACATGTAGAAATGGAGAGTGGTCAAACCCGCCAAAATGTTTATGTAAGTACTTCAGTAATCTCATGGGACCTGGGAAAATCAGCACCTTGAGTATGATACTTTTCTGTGTAAAATAGCAATAATTCACATATTAAAAAAGGAATATTCTGTGGAATGCTTCTCTACCAAATATTCATGTGTGAGGAAATAAAGATTAATAAGTTATTTTTATTTTAAAATAATTAATAAATACAATTATATATATATATATATAGTTTTTTATTAGCATGTAATAGTTGCTCTTATTAATGGGGGTCAGTGTGATTTTCCATATATGCATACACTCACTATGATCATATCCAATCTCTATTTACCCACCCTACCATAACTTCGCAACCTCTATTGGTCACTATTCTACAATTCTACATTCAAGTCACCCTTTTTAATATTCCACATATAAGAGAGAATGTATGGGACTTATCTTTCAGTGTCTGGCCTATTTTGCTTAACATAATGTCCTCCAGTTCTATCCATTTTGCTGTAAATGACAAGAGCCAATACTTCTTTGTGGCTGAATAATATTCTCTTGTATAAATATACTATGTTGTATTAATCTCCTCATCTATTGTTAAACACATGTTCTCATTCAATATCTTAGCTACTGTGAATAACACTGCATGGGCATGCAGATATCCCTTTGGTATGCTGATTTCTTTTCCTGTGGATATGTACCCAGAAGCAGGATAACTGGGTCATAGGGCAGATCTAATTTAAGTTTTTTGAGAAAACTTCTGCTCTCCATAATGATCATACCAATTTAAATTCCCAACAAGAGAGTGTAAGTGTTCTTTTTCTCTCACATCCTCACTAACATTTATTAATTTTAGGATTTATTGATAATAATAGACCTTCTAACTGGGGCAATAGGGTATCTCATTGTAGTTTTCATCTTCATTTCCCTGATGGCTAATGATATTGACTGGGGTTTTTTTAATGAATTTTTGACTGTACTTCTTTGAAATATGTCTATTCACAAATCATTTGTCCAATGTTTAATTGGATTACTTGTTTTTAGTTTTTTTGAGGTCATTATACATTCTAGGTATTAACCCTTTGTGAGACGCATAGCTGGCAAGTCTTTTTCCCATTCCATGGCTCGTCTCATTCTCTTGACTGTTTCTTTAGCTGTGCAGAAGGTTTTCAATTTAATATATCAACTTTGTCAATTTTTGCTTTTGTTTCTTGTGCTTTTGTGGTTCTATCCAGAAAATTGTTGCTTGAACCAGTTTCTTATTTCTCCATATTTTCTTCTAGTAGTTTTAGAGTTTTCAGGTTTTACATTTAAGCCTGTGTATATTTTGAATTTAATTTTGTACATGGAAAGAGGAATCAAGATTAAATCATCTGTGTGTGGATATCCATTTTTAGCATCATTTATTGAAGAGGTGGTCCTTTATCCAATGTTTTCTTTTTGGAAAATTTTTGGAAACTTTGTTAAGAATCAGCAGATATAGATAAATGGATATATCTATATCTATCTATCTATCAATCTATCTATCTATCAATACACATATATATTTATACACAGAGAGGGGGGGAGTGTGTCTCTATTCTGTACCATTGGTCATCGTAACTGTTCTTATGCAAATACTATGCTCTTTTGGTTGCTATGGTACTGTAGTATGTCTTGAAATAAGTTATTGTGATGCTTACAGCCTTTGTGTATTTATTTTTTTCTCAAGATTTCATTAACTCTTCAGGGTCTTTTGTCTTCCATATGAATTTTAGAATTTTCTTCACTGGTTCTGTGAGAAATATTATTCATATTTTAATGGGAATGGCTTTTAATCTGTAAATTCTTAAGGTATTATTGTTGAAGGAATATGCTTAAGGTATTATTACCAACACTAATTCTTCCAATTGATTAGCATGGGAAGTTTCTTATTTATTTTGTATCTTCTTTAATTTCTTTAATCAGTGTGTGGTAGATGTCTTTTGTTCTTTGCTGTTTTGTTTATTGTTGTAAAGATTAGTGAATGAGATTGTTTTTATTATTTGGTTCTCAGCACATCATTATTGATGTATAAAAATCTCAATGATTTTTGTATATTGATTTTGTATCTTGCTACCTTAATGACTTTATCCATTCTAATAGTCTTTTGGTGGAGTCTTTGGGGGGTTTTATATATTTAAAAATATAATCTGAAGACACAAATAATTTGACTTCTCTCCTTTCAATTTGTATGCCCTTTATTTCTCTTATTTTATTGATCTGACTAAAATTTCTGGTACTATACCGATTAAGATCAGGGAGAATAAATACCCTTGTTTCTGATCTTAGGGGAAATGTTTTCAACTTTTCTCATTTCAGTATATTGCCTGTGGCTATGTCTTGTATGGCCTTTATTATGCTGAGGTATGATCTTCCCAAATCTTATTTGCTCAGGACTTTTATCAGGAAATGTTACTGAAATTTTTCAAATGCATTTTCTATATCTATTAATCACATGATTTTTATCCTTCATTCTGTTAATGCTATGTATTATGTTTATTGATCTGAATATGTTGAACTATCCTTGCATCTCTGGGATGGAACCAATTTGATTATGGTGAATAATCTTTATGATTCTCTGTTGAATCACATTCAGATTTGCTCATATTTTATTGAGAAATTTTACATCTATGTCCATCAGGGTTATTAGTCTACAGTTTCTTTTATCTTGTGTTCTTGTTGCTATGGTACCAGGGTAATGCTAGCCTCAGAGAATGGGCTGGGAATGATTCTCTCTCTTTCAAATCTTTGCAACAAATTTATAAGAAATGGAATTAGTTTTTCTTTAAAGATTTCAAAAAATTAATCAGTAAAAGCATCTAGTCATGGGCTTTCCTCAACTTTTTATTACTGATTCAATCTCATTACTCATTATTGATCTCTTCTGGTTTATATGTTTTCATGGTTTAATTTTGGCAGAACCTATGTGTCTAAAAATTTATAAATTCCTTCTAGGTTCTCTAATTTGTTGGCATACATTTTCTCATAATAATCTCTAATGACTCTTTGTATTTCTGAGGTATTGGTTGTAATGTCTTTTTTTTGTTTCATCTTTTATTTTGTTTGATCTTTTATTTTGTTTCATCTTTTATTTCTCTTTTTCTTGGTTAGTCTTATTGAAGGTATGTTCATCGTTCTTATCTTTTCTGATAACCAATTGTTGTTTCATCAGTCTTTTCTACTGCTTATGTATGTGACACCCTCTCCATCTTATCCTTTTTACAACTGAAAATTTATAGCATTTGACCAATATTTCTTTTCTTTTCTTTTCTTTCTTTCTTTCTTTCTTTCT